ATTATCAGCCATGCCTTAAAATTAACCTTATTCTGCTTTGTGTTTCCTCACCAGCATGCTTTAAGGGTGCAATCTGACATATCTGGCTACCTGATCCGCTGAAAAAGAAGCGCCATTTCACCTCGCTTATACTGTCATTAGTTACAGTATATATATTTTAAAAAGCCAACTAGGGCAAAAAAAACTAGAATTTGAGTCTTTCTCATGTACACTGGTATATTATCTCACGAGTGGTGTATAGATTTCCTTAGTCATCTTTGAGTTAACTTTGCCACTAACCTCGTACTGTATTATCAGTGTAAGCTTTTATAGTTTGTTTAAAGGGGACCTATCATGCAAAATGCACTTTTGTACGTCTTTTATACATGAATATGTGTCCCCGGTGTTCCAGGGAACTCACCAAGTGTCAGAAAACACAACCCTCTCTATTTTCCTCCATACCCAAATCTCTAAAAAAGGGGCTGCAACGGATCTGATAAAAACTGATCCAGATTTGAACACTGTCCTGACGTCAGGACAGTGGCGCTACGGCTATTGGGCCAACTCCACCAATCAGGAGGAGACCGCCACGGCCATTGCCGTTCGAAAGCGCTGGAGACGCTGTAGTACATATGCCAGGCCAGTAGATGGTGCTGTTCTCACTGAATCTGCCCCTGCACAAACAGAGCTATAAATTGTCAAATTGAGCAAAATGAGGCATGGCTAAAATGCATGATCTGTTTGGTATTTTGAAAAAAAAAAAGTATAAATATGCCTTATATAGGTATGGTCCTACACTATATTATTCAAATATAGCATGATAGGTCCACTTTAATGGACACAAAAACATAAAAAAACTAGCGGCTACGACAGACGACTGGTGTTACCTCACAACAACATTTCACATTCACACAAAGCAAATAAGACCAAATATGCCCCTGTGTGTGAGGAAATAACTCTCTACAGAAGCAGATGGCAGTTTTAAAATAACTTTACATTGCAATAATCATATGAGATGAAGATAACAAATGTTAAGAGTCTTTTGTGTGTGCCCTCCTGACTTAAATATTTTCCTTGCTGTTTCTCACTTTGATTCCTCTTATTGTGTACTGATTTGCTTTAGCAGGGCAGCTCTACTTCTTGTCTGATTGGCGAGAAGCTGTCGCTACAGCTGTTGCTTCTAGTGCTAAAAGTGGAATTACAAGACAGGACTTGCCGGGTAGCTGCTTAGCATTATTACTTCAGTCGATATCTTTGCACAACAATGCATAGATGTTTCGGACATGACATCAAAACTGTTACTTCGTCACCTTCTAAGGATGAGGTTGGTTCATATACTACTGAGCAAAATGCACGTGCTCATTTGAAGGGTTAGTGCACGTTGGTGGAAGAGACCAGGCAAGGAAATCATTTCGCTGTTAAAAAATCTTGCAGCCATTGCATTTATATTGCATTAAAGCAACATGAATTCTTCCTAATGCAATATACTCAATTACAAAAAGATGTCCCTGAGGTTTAGACAGCTAATGCCCCTTCTCCTCATTAAAACATACTGTATGCAAACCATTATTTTCCAAGTGGTTTGTTTTGACCTTCTGTCTACAGTTGGCACTCATCTGCTAGGATCAAGAATAAGAAGCTATTTACTTAGTATACACCACATGGCACTTGAGAGTTCCTGCAGGTGCTATAAATGTTAATATTAATCTGACATTGGACAATGTGTAGGAGCTGCAGGCTGTGCTTATGGAGGAAGCCCGGGAAATGACGTTTTAATCTCGTGATTCTCTGATTCCCACCTGCAGGGAGGCACTGAAAGACATACGGTATAAAGATCCTGCTGCTCAAGTGGTTTTACCAATATAAATTCTGTCAATCATTTAAGGTAATGTCTTTTCAAATATAGCATATAACATTCATGCTTTGTAGATTTGTTTTACTTTGCAATGATCAGTAACAAACTGAGGACCTCAAGTGGATGGTTAATGAACAACACCTGCCTTTGTGAGAGCCATGTGAAAGAACTGTCCTTACTGTGCGTACCATGTGAGGTGTATTTACCAAGCATGATAATACTGTCATTCTATCTTACCTCCAACCACCCACTCAAAAGAAAAGAAAACAGTGCCTCTCATGATCTGGCAGGAGTTGAATCACTAATAATCTTCCCACGCTTGGTCCTCAGTTTGACCTTTATGCTGAACTAAGTGTGTCGGTGTCTCATCTAACCATCTGGCAGATCTTCAGATCAGCTCCTCATTACAGCAGATTAAAGAGTTTGGGGAAATATATGTTGCTCACTTAGTAGATAATTGCATGCAAGCCTTTTTTTATGAACAAATATTGCAATCTAATAATAAAACAATACATGATTTTATGTCACATGAATACAAGTAAATTAAAGTATTCTTATAAACTTGCATCAATCACCTGATCTAATTGAAAGCATTGCTTTACTGCTGGATATACTTTATTTTCTATAATCAAATTACATTTTATTTATTTATTGCAGGAGATAACTGTGAGTTGAGAACGTTTTTTTTATTGTTAATCATTTTTTTATATTTCCATTTCATCTCAAATGTAGTTTTAGTTGTGTTACTTGAATTACTTTATTGAGCTTTCCCTCCAGGCAACTGCAGGAGTAGCCTATAAACAACCGTTTTCTTCTTAAAATAAATGGACAAACACACACACACACACTCACGCACACGCACGCACACACACACACACACACACACACACACACACACACACACACACACACACACACACACACACACACACACACACACACACACACACACACACACAAACACACACTTCATTTATTCAGTATTGAAAGTTAAGTTGGAGTGGGTCAGAGGGTACTTTAATTGAATTTTAAATTATCTTATTCAGTACTAAACCCTGCAGCTGCTGGATACACTCGGTGCTCGTCTGAAAATCATTCAAATTTCGTCAAAACTTCTTGTCGATATTTTTTTCTGAGATCATCTCCATTTGAATTCAAATTCACTTTCTCCCTAAGGTCCATTCCTTGGAGCTACGAGGAAGAAAACAGCAAAGTATTCGAAGCCGAATGAAACTAACTTCAAAGAGGAGAAAAAACAATATTGATTTTGGTTCATATTTGTGGATATCTGCTTTATAATAAACACTAACCCAAGGAAATATAGCCCAATTATTCACAAGTCATTGCTTATGTGCACTTTTACTAAACAGATGTACTTTCTGAAAATTATTATTTTATAACCGTAGCTGAAGAGTGGATGTAAAGTGGTTTACTTATTCTCTGGATTACAAATGCATGAATACAAAGCTGTATAGTTGCATAATCTTCATGAGAGTTATTGCCCCGAGGTTTCAGTTCATCACCGGCTGATGTATGCAAAGCCATCTTTAAATCTTGAGAGAAATACATCCAATATGCTTTAGTCATTGTTGGAGTTAATTAAAGGAACACTAAGAGGATTCTAAAAAAAAAGGGATGATGATCTTTGGGAGAGCCAAGCTGAGAGGAGAAACCGTTAAACTTCAGTGTTCGCTTTTCACTTTGTTGGACTATAATTATCACAAACAACTCAAAGTGTAGGTGATTATTTAAAGCAGAAGGAACAGATGAGTCATTGTGTTTGTGATGTGCTTCGAATTAGGCGGTGGGATGTGGCAGGATATGGATTTCAAAGTAACCACTGTTGTCATAATGGAGTCAAGGAGGTTTTTGTGCCTCTTGATCATAATTAGGGTATCAAATGGGAATGACACCTCAACCTTCTCAGCAATTATGAGGAAGGCCTGCAGGATAGGATCTGTCCTTGTTTTTGTATCTGCTCTCAATGGGATTGACATGGTTTTTGACTATCACTATAAAATGACAGGTCAATTTAGGGAAACCAAACCTTAAATAGGTCAAAAAGTCAGAATAAAACACAAGTGACTGAGGTTTAAACCCAGATCTCACGTATTGTGTTGTATTTCCTGTGTAGGACCAGCATGGCAGTTCTTTATCCCACATTGTGTGGAGACAGTAGCTGAGAGCAGCGTGTTTTGTGGCAATATTATTCTTCATGCCTGAGGCTGAGGAGGAGAAGGAGATTATCTGAACTCTACTTCCCCCTCTCAGGATGCTGCTTCTTGAGATTCAATGTGGGACCAGCTGCATCTCACCGGAATAGCTGCTGTGAGGCTGTGAGGCAGTATAGAGACGGAGATACCTTGACAAGAAAGTGTCCCTGGATAAAACGTTAGATGTTGTTGCAACGCTGTCAGTCTTTTTTCACTGCTTATGCATAGAGGACTGCACATCAATGTGATACAGCACATTTTTGATCCTGAAAAACTAGAGAGATGTTAATAATACAACACACTTCAGAGGACTAGAAAGGCACAATGAGGCCAATAATTGAATGTTAATGTATAAATGAAACTTTATATTAACACCTACTACAATGTGAAGAACAATTGCTAAGCAGCTATACACATCTAATACAACAAATTATATTTGGCTGTCTTTAGTCAAACATAATATGTCTTCAGTTGCGTGTTTCATTATTGGAATCTTAATTTCCATCATGACCTCAAGAACGGATGATCAGCAATATTTTGAAGGTGAAACATTTTAATTAATTGATTGGTTTTATTTGGGCAAAATCAGTGTGGTGACTGTTAATATGTCAAAGTTATATGTAGAAATAACTGCCAAATGTAATGTCTAAATCAAAACAAGTTTAATGTTAAAATGAATGCAATTATGACCTTTAAAAAAAAAAGTATTTCAAAAACAATTTACCTCTTCATTGTAGCGGAGTAGAAGACGAACAAAGTAGCATAAAATGCTCAAGTAAAGTACAATTACTTCAAAATTGTGTTTAAGTTCATTACTTGATACTATAGTAACATTACACCACTTATCGCCGCATGTTAGAAATACGTCAGTGTGTCCTTTCACAATAAAGCGTCCGATGGTTTGGAACAAAAAGAGTATTACGGACTTCCTGTTTGTCTAAAAGAAGGCGGAGACTGTGCTTCAGACTAACGGATGGACCATCTGTAGTTTTCATTTCTCGTGTTTACAAAATTAGAAAACTAGCTTACTTCTTTCCCTTGCCAGCTGTCAGTATGGATAATACACAGAGAGTTGGAGAGAAACAGTGACGCACCATACATTAAGAAGCCAGGATTCAAGAGTGCTGTAAGTCAAGTTTCTTTTTTGTTTCGCTTCTCAGGCCGTATTCACTAACCAAAAGAGTACTCCATGTCCGAGTATAGTTTGTAAACTCGGTATCAATCTATTCTCATTAATTATTGATACTATGTAGCCTAAAGATGCTAACTGGTGGCTCCTATTGTTTTCTTCTTCTACGTTTTAACACAAATCTGCAGTATCATAAAAAAGGTCACGTGAAAGTATTTTTTTCCTTCATTGAGACTTTACTCAGCTGCTGTAATGTAATGTGTTTACAACAGTCACACTGTACCATAGATAGAATGTAACTCATGGAAATTACTGTCATGCTGTTTTAATGTGTCATTCGCTGAGTCATGATAGGGTCTGTGTGGTTATCTAACAGAAGCTTCCTGTGAAACGGCGTCAACATGGTGCAGGAATACCAGTCCCCTGTCCGGGTCTACAAGCATCCATTTGAGTTGATAATGGCGGTGAGTAGTGTGTTTACATCCAGGGCCATTATACAGGCAATCTATGGTCATTACTGTGCATTATCTCAAATAACTAAGCTGGAGACCAAGGTGCATTTGTTATTATTGTTGCCAGTGTAGCTTTGACCCCTGCAATCTTTAACCACGACTTTTGCCGTAATAAAAGCGAAATATAAATTCTGAAAATATGAATTAAACTGCTTTCTTAGTGGATTCCACTTTATTGCAGTTTTCAGGAAACCAGACTTTCTCATAAACCTCGACAGCTTATCTGTAGCCTTGTCTGCCTACCAGGGTCATCTGCTTCCCTCTGGATACATAACATGCAATGAATGCTGTGTTGAGTGAATAGGCATACTGTAAACACTCTTTTGTTTAATGAATGCTGTGGTTAAAAAAGAATTATGTAGGGTCTGAGCTGCTTAATGAACTTCACATTTCTTTATCCAATGCCAGGCTCACCATTTAAATGTGTTATGCCTATTTAACTTGCCTAGGTGTTGGATATGTATGCAAAAAGTAATGGTAAAGAATATGCACAGAATACAGAAGCAAATGTTGCTCCATGAAGCTCTTGTGTTTTGCAAGGCCGCCCTTGATGAAAGAAATTCTCAGTACATTATCATTCAATGTAATCGTCAGAGCTGTTTTATCTTTTATCCTCGTGTATACCAGACATGCGCTCGTACGATTCATGGAGATAAGTCATTCAGCTTGAAAACAAGCACGAAAAAATACTTATTGCTAAATAATTTAAGACCAAAATGAAAAATAAGCCCACTTTTTGACAAAAAGGGAAGCAGCTGTAGTGTGTTGTCCTGTTGTTATTATTTTTGAGGGCAAGAGTCCTAAAGTTATTTGATATAATTGCTGCTGTTTAAAGAAAAAGTTTTAGTAGAATATACCGTGACATTTTTCTAGCAATATATGATTTATATTTCAGTGCAGCAGCATTCTACAGTCCTTTAGATAAATGTACTGAAATTACAAGCTAAATCTCACTTTCCAAACATTTATCCACCATGTTAATTTATGTGAAATTCTTGTTTTTGATACTGATGTATTGTTCTCTTCAACTACAACTCAATGCTTTAAATCCATGTAAGAATGAGAGCAAAAGTAGGACAAAGGTAATTCCAATTGCATTTCCATGAATGTGTTTTTTTCACCCACTTTCACAGCCTGCTCTTACTTGTTTTCTGCAGTTATACATTAAGCCGAAGACTTGTGTAATATCCTCAGAGCAGTGATGCTGCAGTAACACTTTGCTCTGCAGACTATAACTCCTTCACCAAGCAGTCTTAGTTCGCACCTACACAAGCTTCATTTCCAAGGAAACTTCTATTACAGAAAATCTCAGATATGAAATGTATCTTGGAAATATCCTATAATAGGTCTTTTGTGACAACTAAATAACTGCCCCTGTGAAAAGATCCAGGCCTGGAAAGCCTGAGGGAGAAGGTCCAGTGAATAGTCAGCCCCCATTTCTATCTGAGCCTTCTCATTAGTCTCCTTACTTTTATTACTCCAGCTAACAATCTGTGTCCTGGATAGCACTCGATGTTTAACTACTGACATCATTGTTGTCCCTGTCATGACACGTCTTTATGACTTTCCTGGGTTTTTAATGAACAGATAGACTAAGCTAACTGTGTTTGACACTGGTAAAATTGCATATAATCAAGATTTGCTGAGAAAACAAAGCATTTTTCTTGCTCCGCAGCCATTAAACTGTTAGCCGGTGTGATGCTAATGTGGAATATGATGTTTAATATGGTGGATAATATTGTTTTCTTACATAAGATAACATATTTTGTTGCTATTAGGTTCCCACTAACCTTGTATATCAGGAGTGATATAAATATGTTTGTATACCATGCAGAACTGCTTTATGGTTACTCTATATATTTAAATATTTAACAGGCAGCTATTTTTAACAATGAATTAATAATACACTATGTTTATATAGCACTTTTGAAATAAGACTAAATTGCAATTAACAAAGGAGCTACATATCAGAATCAGGATAATGCCGTATATAAATTGGTTTTAAGAAATGACTTAAAGGTGAATTCAGGCAACAAACCTTGTCAAAACACACCAATACAAATTTGTTTTTTTAGAGGGAATTAAAAGAGGATAGGGAACTCCCCAGTCCTATCTGCTAAGGCTATAGCGTGATGGTTAACTTGTCAATATTTCCCCAGCAAAACCACGCTGCTACTAGTTACATAGACTCCAGACTATTTTGCATATCCTGAAACAACCACTCAATCATATCATCATATCATATTGCCAGGTGAGCTTTTGTGAAATGTGTTTAGACAGTGTCACTCAGTGTGCTGTTGACAGTACAACTCCATAAAAGCTATCACTGAGGCTGTTTGCTTTTATATGAACTGTTAAAGCCTCTAACTATTGAATGCATCCTAACCAGACAAAGACATCATGCAAATCACATGCTGTAGTCATGAGCCAGGAACAGTCTAGTCTAGACTTCTGGAAATATCAGCTGACCTTCTTGTAATTGGAACATTCAAAGCCGCTTTCCTGCCCAATCAGAGAGCTCCTCATAGTGGGCAGGATAAAAGCAACATCCTTCAGAGGGAACATAATGTACAGAGCCAGGCACACCAAGTCTATAACAAAAAAGTACATCAACCCTAAAGAATCTACACATGTATTTTATAAATCATTTTCTTTCCCCCTCTCAGGCCTATGTGAGGAGGTTCCCAAAGTCGCCCCTGATCCCAGTGTTCGTGGACAGTGAGATCGTCAACGAGACCCAAAGCAAGGATGGATCCACGGTGGTCACAGAGAGGCGCTGTATGATCGACATCGAGGCCCCACGGCTTCTGAAACGGGTACATCCTCTCCGACCTTTACCAGAGCATGAAAGGCCACGAGACATTCATAACATTTGCTGTAATCAGATAATTAGATATTAGAACACGAATAGGAATGTTTGCCAAGACTGTGTCAGATGTGGCATTTTCTGTCAATGTTTGAAAGGTTGTTTTGATCCACTTGCTGATGTATTTGAGTGTAAACCATGTTTTTGTATCTCCATGCAGATTGCTGGTGTAGACTACCTGTACTTTCTCCAGAAGAACACTCTGAATCACAGAGACAGGACGCTCCACATCGAGGTCCGCAACGAGACGTTTTCCAACAGGGTCATTGTCTACGAGTCCTGCAACTACACGGTGAGCCTCAGAATGGAACAACATTTTGATTTATTTTATGTTGTACTCACATTTATAGACGAGATCCCCACCGCTGCATGTGCATACAAACCTTGCTTTACTACCAAGTGCATCATTGTTCTAAATGATCCTCTCATGGTGTGCCAAATGCACTTGTATCTACAGGTTGGGTCTTTAAAGTCAATGTAGTGTTACTTGCTCCAATAATACCTACCGTGCTCTAACATTTCATGACGTTCCCCAACATAACCCCCACTAGCAATATCGTTTCTGCTGCTTGTGATTACTTCAGTACGTCGAGTCATCTGCGACATACATTTTTTTCAATCATTATCTTGCAACGCACTGCTGATTTTGCCCTTTTTCATGACTTACAAGGGAAATAACAAGGGTTGTAACATACTGTATTAAAGATGTAATCTACATCATACATTTTGATCCTCTTCCACAGGTTCATCCGGAGAATGAAGACTGGACGTGCTTCGAACAGACAGCTAGTCTGGATGTTAAGTCCTTTTTTGGATTTGAGAACTCGGCAGAGAAGATAGCTATGAAACAGTATGCAAGCAGTATTAAAAAGGTGTGCATCTTTTTAAATTAGCTTGAATCGACACTACCTTCCACCGTTTCCCAGTAACTTAAAAAGTGTTGTCTCCTTGTTGTGTTGTAGGGCAAAGAAATGATCGAGTACTACCTCAGTGAGCTGGAGGACGAAGGAGTAACCTACATACCTCATTGGACCCCGCCTGTTGTCTCCGGCACTATCAGGCTCCAGCTGGCGCCCCCCTCCATAGCCAGAGCCATCCCAGAGAACAGTGCTCAGACGGGACCCGACAGTACAGACGCAGACGCAGACGCTGAGATCGTGCCTGGCTCTCCTGACGGTCGGTGTTTAATCTCTAGTCACAATCAGTTATAGAGTAGCAGCTAACACCCAAAACAGTACAGTGATTAGGTTAGAAGAATTGTGTTGTCGAAGTCATCTTTAACTGGTGATATAATCAATAGTTTACCAGTTTTACTATTAATATAATCATTTCTTGTAAGCCCTGTGCTTTGTGTAATCATTTACTTAATCTAGGATTGCTCTATCAGTCAAACTATTCCTTTTTATATTGACTTTTTTTACGGTAGATTTACCCAGGACGCAGATATTTACATAGGACTTAACTTTAAGTCTATAAATAATAACACAAATTATAATAATATGTATATACTGTGTATATAGGATTTTAAAAGCATTGAATCTCACACTAGTACAAACCGTATTTTCCACTATCTGAGTGCCAAATGTTGACATTAAAAATAACAGCAGCAAACGGGGCAAAGCAACTTATTTTCCTCTTGTTGAAAATCAATTGTCCAGCTCCTGTTTTCTCTGATTTATGCATGCGATATGTGCTAACTTTACATTGAACATGTTCTTTGGCCTGCAGACAAGTTGGATGCCGACTACATCAGGCGTTACCTTGGTGATTTAACGCCTCTGCAGGAGAGCTGTCTTATCCGACTGCGCCAGTGGCTCCTGGAAACCCACAAGGGCAAGGTCAAATACACACACACACACACACACACACACACACACACACACACACACACACACACACACACACACACACACACACACACACACACACACACACACACACACACACACACACACACTTATGCCTGGACTTCTGCCCACTTCTTGCACACTTGTATGTACTGTAGATGAGTAATAGAAAGCATTAATTTGATTAAAGTATTATTCATTTTAACTTTTAGATTCCTAAGGATCAGCATGTGCTCCGCTTCCTGAGGGCCAGAGATTTCAACATGGACAAAGCCAGGGAGTTCTTGTGCCAATCGCTCACCTGGAGGAAGCAGCACCAGGTGGACTTCCTGTTGGACACATGGGAGCGCCCACAGCTGCTGCAGGACTATTACACCGGAGGATGGCACCACCATGACAGAGGTACTTGTCTCATACTGGCTGCCTGCCAATATTATCTCTACTCAGTTTCATGTCATGTCACTGCCTACTGTTGTTGTACTGTGGGGGAAAGTGGACACTCAGCAGTAAAGATAAAGAGACGGGAGTGGGTTTTGTTGTCTGTATTTAAAAAGTCCTCATGGGTTTAGATGGCCTGTTAATTATTGACCGTAAAGTCTGAGCACCATCTGTTGTAGCTTCCACGTTTAAATATGAGTCATTGCTTTTAATGGAACAGCTGATCCGCCAGGCTAGAGTGAGGACGTGAACACATGAAGTGCACTTGTCCTACCAAACCACTTAATTTAGTTAGATGACCTACAGCTGAGTCCTGCTATGTAAAGTCATTACGACAAAAGGATCTAACTTTGTGTGTGTGTGTGTGTGTTTTGTGTGTGTGTGTTTTAGAGGGACGTCCTCTGTATATCTTGCGACTGGGGCAAATGGACACAAAGGGCTTGGTGCGAGCCTTGGGAGAGGAGGGGCTGCTGAGACAGGTAACATCAATGAATGCATGTGTTTCACAATATTTAAGCAACATTTTGAATTTAATAAGAATACCACAACCCCAAAATGTGTCCTTAGTACATCAATTGCTCACCCTGCGTTATGTTGAATTCAGAAAAGTCTTTCACTTTTTTGTCTAAGTGTTTTAAATAATTAGCAAAAATATGCGTTTAGGGAGTAGTGACCATACAACTGGATAAATACGTTTATAATGCACAAGTTGTTGAATAATTCAATTTATCGAGACTTTTTCAGTACGTATTTCATGATTCGTTCACAGTAGAATTGTGCTAGAAAATATTATTTTCACAAATGAATGGTATCTATGATCATTTGGTGGGCGAAGTATACCTTTAAAATATTATCAGGCACATTAACGCTACAACTTAAATGTAACCCAGGTCCTGTCCATCAACGAGGAGGGTCTGAGGCGTTGTGAGGAAAACACCAGAGTCTTTGGTCGACCAATCAGGTAAAGGCCTAAATATGAATCTCTGTATCTTCTGTGGTTAACAGCAAATCACACACTTATAGTCCACGTCCATCTAATGTCTCTGTCAATGTGTCGGTCAGCTGCTGGACCTGCCTGGTGGATCTGGAGGGTCTCAACATGCGTCACCTGTGGAGACCGGGAGTGAAGGCTCTGCTGAGGATCATCGAGGTGGTGGAGGCCAACTACCCCGAGACCCTGGGCCGCCTGCTCATACTGCGGGCCCCCAGAGTCTTCCCAGTGCTCTGGACCCTGGTGAGAATAAATGTCTGCCATTAACGTGCTTTTAAAGAGGCCCTATTATGCTCTTTGGGGTTTGCCCTTTCCTGTGGTGTGTTATATATATTTGTGTGCATGTTAATGGTCTGCAAAGGCTTAAATCCCAAAGTTCCCTCCAGAGGGAGTTTCTCTCCCACACTCTCCCCCTGCCTGAAACGCCTCCATTGGACTCCTTTGTTTACTTCTGTAACATAGTGACATCACTATATAACACTTGCGCCTCTATTGGATAGCGGAACAAATTGTACGTGATAGTCTAAGGGGCGGGATGTCTCTAAGCGGTTGACCAATCACAACAGAGCCGGTGTGCTAACCAATCAGAGCAGACTGGGGCTCTGGTTTCAGACAGAGGGTGAAAAGAGGTGCTGCAGCGAGAGAAATAAAGAGCTTTTTGAACATGAAAGCATGGAGACATGTCCCAGTAGAGACACTACATACAAATATCAACATGATGATATGTACTTTATATTTCATCATCCGAGTGTGGAAGATTGTATGTAAATGTACAGTACAGACACAGAGTATGAATCTTACTGGGTGCATATGTGAATATAAAAAAAATGAAATGAAGGGGACGGTTATTACAACCATGCAATATGCTGATCCTCGTGGGGGAAATCAGATCATTGCTACAGTACAGCAAAATGGTATGTTTGTAATAATGGCATTCAGCAAAGAAATAAAAATAAGTAGCGAAATAAATCAAAAAAGCAATATACAGTGGAGGCATTATATAAGCAGATTTTAAGTATACGCAACAAATGGAAAACGTATTATATAGTATGAGTTTATATGATGATAAAATAAGTGTAAAATACAAATTCAGATGTTTAGCAACACCATCAACCAGCCGATCTCTATATTTCTTAAACATGAATATTCAGAGTTTCATGGATTGACTTTAGTTGAGTTGATAACATGCTATTGCGTTTTCTGATGATATTTGGTGTGTTGTTCCCAGGTGAGCCCTCTGATTGATGAGAATACCCGGAAGAAGTTTCTTGTTTACGCTGGAAACGACTACAAGGATCCAGGGGGATTGGTGGATTATATTGACAATGAAATCATCCCTGACTTCCTGCGAGGGGACTGCATGGTGAGTCCACAGTGTACCGTTCCTAATGCATATAATAGTGTTCAGACAAAAACGTTTAAAAAGAATATATGATTGTAATGATTGCATTTTTCCTAGTATGTGTCCTGCTTTGAAGTCTGAAAGCTAGAGTCACATGAATAGAGATGATTATGTGGATAACAATGGCAACGGAGGGAGGTTTCCTCTGGAGGCAGCATATTGTAATAGTTTTTTTAAATTGCGGCCATAAAAATGTTCAACGGTATTTGTCGATTTTACTGAAAGCTTTAAGAATATATTCAAAGTATAAAAATGTAAAAGACAAATGTGCTTTCAGCCCCCAAGGACTAACACACTGCATTCCAAAAGAGGCTTAGCATATGGACAAGACGAAAAGTATGTGCATGGAGTTCTGCGACCGACTTTATTCGAATTTTAGTTTGAAGTGTTTCTAAAGAAATGCTCAGATTTATTCCAGCAGAAATCTCTACAAAACATGAGTCACACAGCCCTGAACATGTTGTTCAGTCGTTATGGCTGCACCTTCTTTAATGTGCAATGGCAATTTAGCTTCTCTTTTAACCCTTAGATGCATAAGTGGGTCTTTTTTGACCCGGTGAGGTGGTTTTCTTGAAGTATCTTTGTAGTTACATTTTTTTATCGTTTCATATTCCAGCTATTCCTCAAAAAACATGCCATTCAAATTTTTCATTTAAATTTTATAAATGCTAAGAAATTGTAGTTTTTGTATTACTACCCCAAGCTTCCATAAGTGGGTCAAAAATGACCCGCATGCATTTTCTATGGGATCCTCTGGGAACCTTTGATTCTTATCACCTGTTGCTGTCAGGAATACATTCACTGTAGACCACACGGACTACATCACGCGTGACACCTCTCAGGAACATTATTTTACATAGTAAGATCTGATACCTGTCAGTATAATAATCATACATTATATTTGTATAGGGCTTTTCAAGGACTCAAAATCGCTTTACAATATAAGGGAAGGTTAGGGTGGGGGGTATAGGACTATCAAACTTGATCAACCGGCATGGATTGATGGGGGGTGGGCTATGAGTAGAGGAAAAGAGATGAGTTTTGAAAAGGGACTGGAATACTGTGAGGGTCTCAGAATAGCGGAGACCTATGTTCAAAACGTTTTTTTTCAAAATGTAAAATAAATGTCTAAAATTATAAATAGTGAAAAATTAAATATAAAATATTTCTAGTGTGAACCAAAATATAATACTAAATATTATACAAGTGATTTTTCTTAACCAAAATGACAAAAATTGCATAAAAACACATATTATTCTAATACGGGTCCTTTTTGACCCACTTATGGAAGAGTGTAGGGTCCAGTCACTCGTGCATCTAAGGGTTAACAAACAAACAGAGAAATGTCCACATGAAAACCTACATTTATGCGAGTTGTCACTTTGTTCAGCTTGTGTTTTTATTTTCTGTCCTCAGTGTGACATCCCCGAGGGAGGTATGGTCCCCAAATCTCTGTACAGGACGGCAGAAGAGCTGGAGAGTGAGGAGAACCGCCTGCTGACTGACTCCATCTATAAGTGTGCCAGTATTTTCAAGGGAGCCCCATATGAGGTATGACCCCTGCTTTTGAAATTGGCTCTCAAATCCACAGATTATATTATGTGGATGAGGGTGCCACCTGCTGGAAGAAATCCACACTGCAGTTTTAGATGAATATACAACTGTTAAATGGCCTGCTGTGAGCCGATCTGTGCTTCTAATCTCCTGACATCCTCCTGCAGATGCTGATCGAGATCACCGAGGCCTCCTCCGTCATCACCTGGGACTTTGACGTGTGTAAAGGAGATGTACATTTCAACATATACCATTCTAAAAGGGTCCCACAGCCCCCTAAGAAAGACACTCTCGGGGCCCATGGCATCACCTCCCCAGGGGCCGTTAACGCCCAGATGATTGACAGGAACTGGGTGCTGGGCCAGGACTACAGCATGGTGGAGAAAGCCCTCATCTGCAAGGAGGGAGAGAGCGTACAGGTCAGAGAGCTTTCTAACAGCACTATCACCTGTCTTTATACCTGAACTTAAAGGGGCCCTTTTATACATGTTGGGCATCCCTTCCCTGTAGTGTGTTATATAGGTTTATGTGCATGTAAATGGACTGTAAAGTCTAAAACCCCAAACCTCCCTGACAATCCCCCCCGGCCTGAAGACACTTCGATTGGACTCCTTTGTTTTCTTCCCGATCATAGAGACTTCACTATGTAACACTGACGCTTCTATTGAAAAATAAAGACCTTTTTGAACATTAAAGCATGTACACATTTTGCAGTAGAGGCATAAAAAACATGAACATATGAACCTGAAAATGAGCATAAAAGGGCATCTTTAACTTACAACATAAACTTATTTTCTCGAGTACAATATATATAAATATGTGCTAAAGTGGCTCTAACACTATCTGTTTTTTTAAAGCAAATTAAATTCTCCATTACCTCAGTCTCATATTAATACTCGGCTCTCCTCTGATCAACAGGGCTCCCACGTGACGCGCTGGCCCGGCTGCTACATCCTGCAGTGGCGCTTCCACAGCTCCCCCGCCTGCTCCGCCTCCAGCCTGCCGCGAGTGGACGATGTGCTCGCCTCGCTGCAGGTCTCCTCCCACAAGTGTAAGATCATGTACTACACCGAGGTGCTGGCATCCCATGACTTCAGGTCAGTTTGTTTCCCTGCTCGTGTCCTGTCTTTCTTTGTGTTACACTGAGGCTGTGTGGGCTGATCAAAAATCAATGTTGTGATATTTCTGGAAGTAAATTGTCCTTTCAGACATGTTTACACCTGTTTCATGTGGTGGAAGACGTCTTCAGACTTATTACTTAAGTAAATAAGCAATGCTGAATTGTTAAAATAATCTGTCTGCAATTAAAATGCATGCTTTCAAAATCTAACTTAATTTAAATTAAAAAAAGATATTTGTTCCAAAATTAAAAGTACTTGTTTTGCATTTGCATGGCCCATTTTAGAATCGTATATTAATGGGTTAATGGTGTTGACTGTAAATGCATTAATGTATTCATTACAGTTGGTGGGACTTTTTTTTTATTTCTTTGTACACTACTGCTGGATATTTTAACCTATAATCATATATTAATGTTTATTTATTATTTAATTTATATTTAGTTTTAGCTTTAAATCCTTATCAGTAAAATAACCCAAAACAAAAGCTGTCAAATAAATGTAATAAAAAGAACAATATTCACGTCAGTAAAAATATAAAATAGTGTCAGAAGAAATGATCCAGGAAAGATATTTCAAAATTGTATTTATTTTCAGTACTTGAGTAAATGTACTGGACTGCAACACTTTTTATACGTTTTTTATTAGGTAGAATCAACATTTCTCTCCTGTCTTTTTCTGTTATTTCAGGGGATCCATGACCAGTCTGCAGTCCAGTCATAGTGGTTTCTCTCAGCTCAGCGCTGTCACCACTTCCTCTAGCCAATCACACGCCAGCTCCACCGTCTCCAGGTAGCATCTGCCCGCCAGCTGCCACCGACAGCAGGGACCTTAACCTAGTGACATCTTACTCAAACTGTGCCTTATGCCTCCAGAGAGAGGCAGCCTTACACTCACACTCACTAATGACAACTTGATCTAACAACTGAGGGTGAGGAGAGTATTATGTCAAATATTTATGAATAAATAAATGTTTTTTTTGTTTTTTTAAGATGGGTCAATACAGTATTATTGGTAGGGGATCATGTATTTATAAGTTTCCATCCCATATGATGACTAAGTTGAACAATAGTGTACATTATAACAGAAACAATGCACAGTGCCAATATCTTGAGTTGTAGTTTCATGTGTCCAAAACATCTGCTGGATTAATTTAAGCAACATTTGATTTTTACATGCAATTAAATGTAGGTTTCTGTACAATGCACACAGCGCCTGTCCCTGAAGTTGCTTGTATTGCCCACAAGATGTCAGAGTCCTCTGCTCTGAAATCTGCAGTGTACTCTCCACATGCATTTCCCCTCACACTTTGTCTGTCCTTCGAAGAAATTGTAAGAAGTGTTGTTTAAATAAAGAATTTATCACAAGCATTAATATTGATGTGTGTCTTTATATTACATTTTGAGAAAACAATAACTGCTGTGCGGGAGACGCAGTGGGGGAAGTAATTTTGCTGGAACAATGGTTTATTAATCATTTTTACAGCAATAGGTGAGATGTTAAGAGCATGCAGATAATATGAAATCTCTTTTAAAATATTCTGCGCATGTCATGTTGATGTTTGGGCTTGTTAGGCAGAGCTGTTGAATTTTCTGGGGATGCTAATTCCAATGCAATATAGTGCAGCGTCTCGTAATCGGGCACAGGTCCAGGCAGACAACAGATTTGCATAAAACTTTAATTTCCATGAACTTATCAGATGCTTCCAGCAAAAGCTTAATTAAATTTCCTTGTGTTGGTTGTTTCCCTTGGTTTGCAAATGTGTGTCATGCTGCTGCATATCACAACACAATAATAACAGAAAGTTAGGTAGATTGAGTTTTCTGAAAAGTTCTTCCTGGCATGTCCCGGTTGTCTGAGACAAGAAGTGCAGTGACTTTGCCAGAAAGCTTATTTACAGAATTAATCAGTCTGCTCTAATGACCTCCCAAGACACACATTGTCCATGTAAATAGTAGCCCTTTTTTCTCTTATACATCTAAATTGCTAATAAAACCTGCTCTTCCAAAGCAGTTTGGTCATTTAAGGCTGAATTAATTCCCTGGCATTCACAGGGTTGAAAAACAAGGTCTGTTGAAGTAACAACAAAGTTTGGTAAGTCAATCGAGTGCTCTTAATAATGCATCGCCTTATAATGTATCCACCTGCATGGTTTACCTGACACCACCTTGTGGAGGACGGATGGTCGCTGACCTACAGCCACGTGGAGATGATTTATGGCCGCATTATTTATTATTGATCAACAAAAACTGTTCTTAACCCTTTTGCCTCACCTTAAAAAAGTTGCTCTGATATTCTTAGAGGACAAACATGTCCGTTAAAAAACTGACATGAAGTGATTTGTCAATATACATGTTCCCTTTCATTGAGTTATATCTTTTAACAAACCTTAGCCCTGATCATGCCAGCAAAATATTTCTATTTTTTATGTTAAACTTTTAAATGCAAGTTTGTTTACCTAATGCTACTGAGTTTTGAGAGGCACTCAAATTGGATTAGTTTGATAGTGATTTTACACAGTCTGATATATCTTAATGATGAGCACAATATTGATTATGATGCATTTTATAATATGGTGCAGAAAACCTGGAAATGAGCATGTTTGCCCCATAAGGCATCAGGGACAATGGCTCACTCTGGTGGAAAATGGTAAAAACTACAACTGTAAAGCCGGGGCTTCAAATTGAAAGTGTAACATTAATGAATGTGTGATTTTATGTTGTAAGGAATCCAAAAATGTCAATGGATTTCAATGGCTACATTAACAAAGATCTCCCTCGACCAAATTGAAAGGCAATCCATCTTTGACATTTCACTTTGAAAAGAAAGAAATGATAAACTCACGGTGGCGCAAGAGGGAAAGTCATGGAATCACCAAAGTCATTAGGATACTGTGAGGACCATGAATGCCTTTAGAAAATGTCATGGCAATCCATCAGATATCAATTCAGATTGACCCCTTTTTCACTATTTTGTTCAAACCAGATGGATAAATGTTTGCACAAATAAGTGGATATGTACTGGTGTTGTTAATCTTATTAGATTCGAAGTAACCAATACCAAATAGCTTCAACAATCATGGATAAAGAGGTCATTTTTGTAGATTTTGTGACAAATGCATATGCTGTTGAGTCCCTGGACGTCTTTGTATTGAATGTATTTTACCATGTCATATACAAACTGCTTTAAACCTGGTATTTGGTGTGCAGATCATCTTAATGGATTTAAAAGAGATTCCATATTGTTACTAATCCTGTGGATAATACTTATAATAAGCTAAAACGTTTTGTTATCAGCCCCCCCAAATGCAATATAACCTTTCCGCTTCTGTCAAAACAGTTATTCATAAAGATATCGTTCCTGAGGAGAGCTACATTTTCCCATCTCCTCACTGTTATCCTTTTGGTTGCGCTCATCATCACAGATATGATACATAGATGATTATCTGGAATTTGTCTCAGAAGAAAGTAGCCTTAAGATTCACTCCCAGCTAAATCCCTGAGAAACTTGTCTCTTCGTCTAATCTGCCTCATAAGCTGTCTGACCGCTGATATGCGAGACTGGAAAATCAGTCAATTTAAGATTTTGTATAATACTGCAAACAGGAACAGCAGATCTCTTAATTCTTTGGTGGGCACCGCAGACAGAGGAGGAGATCTGCATTGATAATGTGCTGCTGAAATAGTCTCAGTCTTCTTGTTACAGATATAAACATCCCAGCCCTCCCTGGGAATATGAACATGATAATGAATACGTTTCACTCAGAAACTCCAGAGACAGGCGTAGGGAAAATCAGCATGGGGCTGTTATTTTTATATTTACATCTCACAAATGCCAAACAGGTTGTACTTTGCAAAATAATGACTTTTTCTTCCCCATGTCTATACCCTTTTTCTGATTCCAAGGTGAAATAATAAAACATAAAGTGTTCAAAACCAAACAATATATTCCAACTTCACCCATTCAAATGATGGATGGATATTTGTACAACTTTTTATTTGTTTACAATCAGGGAATGTGTTGTGAGTCTTACTGCAGTGGGTATCTTCATTAAAACTTAAGCCTGTATTTCATTCGCTTCATCTGACAATCCTGACCTTCCCACTAATTAAAAAGGAGAGAGATCTGGATTAGTGTGCACTAAATTATTTTTAGGAGGCTTGACACACTTGAAAAGAAACTTTGTCCGGGATGTTTTGCATGCACAAATATGCAGCTTGAATCGAGGCCCTGTTTTAATGTGATTTGTGCAACCTGGAAAACATTAAATGTTTAATGCCTCCTCCATCTGAGTTGTGGGCCTGTCTATTTAACTAATCTCATATCGGCTGGGCTAAAATTCATTTTCTGACTTGATGTACTACTGGGCCTGATTAATATGTCCACAAACAAATAGATACAGTCACGTCTATTTATCTCTGATGCTTCATACTAACTCTCATATTGTATCACATCGATTTTCTCCGCAACAAGAGAGACCATCAATCTAGCTTCAATTTAGGCCAATTTCTGAGCACTGCCCTCATTTGCAAAGAACTGTCAAGACTCTGCTAACGTCACATGTTGTTTTTATCGGTTTCCGGACATCAGACCAGTTTTAGTTCTGTGATGTTTTCTTGGCTCACTGACTTCTATAGTTGACATTTCCATTCCTCTCACTCTAAATGGGCGCTGCAGTGTGAAGGTCATTATGGGCCTGCCCTCCTTAAATGTTTCAGTGAGGACACACATTTATCCATGGCTTGTTTGGACAGAATACCAAACTTGAAGTGTATCTTTGGCAATCTTGCAATATGGATTGCTTGTAAACAGGTTTTAAAATATCTAATGCATGAAAGTCAATGCTGTTGTGAAAACCAGCAGAAACAAAAAGTAATATTTTTTAAAGATGAATTAATTAATGTGATTCTAAGGCAAAGCAAATGTATTTATAGAGAACTTTTCAACACGAAAAACAAAAACGAAATATATTTGAGATATAGTGCAATGGAATCACATTATAAAAGGACTTCATTAAGTCATTAAGAAACGAAGAGAATAAAATATAAATAAAACAAGCTAAAATAGAATAATATAGGTATATAGGTATTTATAAGTTTAAAAATGACAGTGCAGTGTTAGGCATTTAATGATTAGGCCTACCTAATGATGACTTTTTGTAAATAGGCATTGCCAACACCATTAACCATTACCTTTGGGATAAGGTTAATAGAATACAGATTTTTTTGGCGGTAAGTGTTGCGTAATATAAACAAGACGAAACGTCACTTCCGGTTTTCACAATTTAGTTCAAGTGGCGGAAAAAGTCTCAATTAACATGTTTCCTGGGAGACGGGCCATAAAGTGCCAACTTCAAGAAAATCGTAATAAGAAAACAAAGAGGGAAACGGGTTATTTTCATGTTTCAGGTGGTGAAGTTCTTCCTCCATGACCCTGGAAACATCTTCAAAACAGTGGTAAGTGTTGTCAAAACTATACCAGCGTGGCGATTGTTTAAAATAACTATTGTTTGATAACTATACTTTATTGGGCTGACATTTTCAATTAAAACTAATAATTTAGAATGCAAGGCTTCCTGCCAAAATGCACCCCTCCTGTGGTCAAAACAAGCGAAAAATAAACGGACTTCAAAATAAAACTAGCTATGCGTTTTTTTGTTGCAATGTGTTAGTTAAATGTATAACTACATTGGCCTACATATAGCGATATACATTGTGCAATGGTTGTGAAATGTGTTGTTGGAGAGCCTGGAGAGCTACATTAGTTAGCCTGTTTCCATGTTATACAAATTTCACTCAATGTCTTATGCTGGCTATTGTATGAAATGTTCATATAGCCTTGAAAATTATAAAAAGTAACACCACAGGTGTAGTTAATAACATTAATTGGGGATGCACTCGTCATTAGTGATACTATTTTTTCATTTTCATTTCCTGCTCAAAATGTCTGCCCATTACTGTATATTTGAATCTGTATAAAGAGCTGAAATGACTAAAGAGTGACATACTGGGCTTACCATGTGTGTATATTCAGTGACAGGTAACAGCTTCCTCCTATCTGTTGCTCTGAGTATTACCTCAGGTTTTATGTAATCATGGGAATACATTGTAAGTCTGAAGTGATTACCTAGACTATACTGTTTCTGCCCGCAGACAGTATAGGGCGGCATTTAAAGCATCCATCTTCCCTTCTCCTACCTGCCAACACTCACCACCCCTCAGCGAACACAGGTCCTTATTGGCAGGCGGAGGGGCAGGCAGGATTCCCCAATCTCAAATGACTTGGGTGTCTCCTGAATAGAGAATATAGAGGAAGCTTGAGAGAGCAGAGACAGATAGACAAATGGAGAGGGTGAGATGATATTCTTTTTGGAGGG